CAAGATGCCTAGACCTGGCAGCTGGCTCAGCCTCTCGGCAAGCTGCTGAGAACTGAGCCAGCTGCTCCCACCCCCTCCACAGCCCAGTGCTCCAGTGAGTGCTGGAGGAGCAGAGACCCAGTGATTGACTGTCACCGGCTCTCTTCAGGCTGAAGAATGAGAGCTGAGCGATCAGTGGTGTTTGATGTCTCAGTTCTTGGTCTTGGAGGCGGCAGGGGACAGCTGCAGCTAAAATCCTTGCTGCAGCTATCTGGGTGAGTATATAATTTTATTTATTTTTTTTGTTCCCATACTTCTCTTATAATAGATGTGCACAGAGTTCATTCATCCCAGCATTCTAGTACCATTATTGTTGAATGTTTGCATTGCTATTTTTGGAAGGTGGTGATCCTTTCAATTCTGTTATTTGGAGGTCTAGCCTTTGACCTCAGTCTACATAGAATTAAAAATTGGCAGCCATTTTGTGACAACAGGTCTTACTCTGAGGTCATTTTCTCCTGTTTAGTGGATTTTGCTTAACCCCACAGGAAATTCTTCACGAAGTGCTCACCATTTTTATCATCTTGCTTTCAGTTTAATAACCAGTTAAGCTGACAAGCAGCTGACAGGGGATATAAAATAACACTTCCTCTTCTATTTATCTGTTCCTCCAGCAATGGCTTGCTATTCTTTTACAACACTGTAATTTCTTGATAAGCCTTACTGCTGAGAGGACATGATCTCAAATTTGGGAGGTATTGTATGCCTCCATGTGTGTGTTGTGTTTTTTTTTTTTTTTTTTTTTTTTTTAATAGACAAAATAGGTATCATTACCACTATGACCAATTTCAAAAATTGTTTCAATAGGCTTTTTTTGCAGAAAACCTTTGCAAGGTGCATATAGATATGTGTAAAAATACTGCGGCTATAACATCTAGTAGAATATATACTGATTTAAGGTGGTTCTAAAACCTAAAACCCATTCCTTGCATTAAGTTTAAAAATGTTTAGGCATTCGTTTTGACTCCTCACCGCCCTTTCAGTTACTTGAGCCCTCATTTGATCCAGTGCTGTGCAAGTCTGCAGCTCTTCTCTTCTCTATTTTCTGGTCTCACTGCTCACTGGCTTTGTTTGGGGAACCAGGAGCCATTGGCTCCCACTGTTGGCCCAACCCCACTCCCTTGTCACTGACTTTGATTGACGAGTCCCGCTGCCTGTGTCAATGGACACAGCAGCAGGGCTTAAGTGCAAACACGCATAAGTGTCCCCATGGGAAGCCACTGGACAGAGCTGGAGGAGCCAGGATTACCGGCGGGGACCCAAGAAGAGGAAGTTCAGGGTCGCTCTGTGCAATTCCATTGCACAGAGCAGGTGAGTGTAAAGATGTTTTTATTTAAAAAAAAAAAAAAAAAAAAAAAAATATTCACTTTAACTTTAGCAAAGAGAATTCTGATCCCTATGCATTAAGCTGGCCATACATTAATAAAATGTATTTTTTAAGATTTTTTAAAAAACCTTCAACCACAATGATGGAGGAGCAGGATGGAAAATGTTTCTCAAACTATTTAATTTTTTAACAGTGTGTTGTTCTTGTGCAGGAAACTCATTCATTCCAAAATCAAATATTTAAAGCAAATGCTTTTGAATAAACTGGCACGTTGTGTGAAGCAGGTGAAAAATGGTTACAGTTTTTTTTTCATAGTAATTCTGTAAGCAGGTCAAGAAACAGAGTCAAAAATCCAAAACAACAGGTTTAAAAAAAAAAAAAAAGCAGAATAAGGATAAGGCTATGTTCACAATACTGTGATATGATTTTGATACAATTTCAATGTGACTTTGTAGTACAAATTTGCAGCATTTTGGATGTTTGCATATTCTTTGGGGCCAAATTGCATTGTAAATCACACCAAAGTGGTACAATAGCCTTTTCCAAAATTGCATAGCATGGAGTCTCATTGATGTGAATGGGCACCTTGGAAAATAATGTGATTGCCCTTGTCATGCGATTCTGTGTGAAGAAATTGTACCTGTGTGAACCAAGCCTAAAGCTCTCAGAATAATCTTGCCTTTATCATCCAGATACGCCTTCTCTGCATTTTACAATCGCCAATGAAGAAAGTTCCTTAGAACCCATGAAACATGTTGTTTATTTCTTAAATGTGCAAATAAGTAAATTTATAATCTGTTCTGTATTGCTAGAGCTGTCATCTTTTCCATTGTGAGTATGTATGTTGTTTGACATTTGGCTATTGGATAGCCATTGGTGAGACGTTGGGGACAGAACACCAAACTTCTGGTCCATCGAAAAATGAAATGGCTGCACTACTCTACGGTTGAAAAAAACATTTGAGGGAATACAAATATTCTGCTGCTATATGTAATCTGTATTCTGGTGGGTGAAGGCTATTTAATAATATCTGTCTTTTAAAGCGATGCTAAAGGTTCTTTTTTTTTTTTTTGTTTTTTTGTTTTAGGGAAAATAACAAACATGTCTATACTAATTTACTGTGTGTAGTGGCTTTGCACAGAGCAGCCTGGATCCTCCTCTTCTCGGATCCCCTGCAGGGCTCTCCTGGCTCCTACTTTCTGTCGGGTGCCCTCATAGCAAGCAGCTTGCCATAGGGTCACACATGGAGCTGCGGCTTGGCCCCGCCCTCTTTCCTCATTGAGTGACTGGCTGTAATTGACAGCAGAGGGAACTAATGGCTTCCACCTGCTGTCTTAGCCAATGAGGAGGCAGAGACCTGGTGCAGCCGAGGTTATCATTCACATCGCTGGATTGCAATGAGGCTCAGGAGACTACCGGAATGTATGACATCATTTGGCCTAGGCCAGAAATTGGGAAACCACTTAAATAATGTAAAAAAAAGTTAATATAATATACCTTCTTATTTGTTTACTAATGATAGTAGCATAGGGATTAAAAATAGTGTTACTAAACCCACAACAGTAAAATCAGTCCGTATATGCAGTAAAACATGCTTGTTATACTCACTGTGGAACCTAAGGGGTTAATCCTCTGCATTGTGTAAAAAAGGGCTGCTTGATCCTGTCTCTTCTGATTCTCCCCTTCTTTTGCTGCCCCCAATCCATCTGCCATAGTTAGAGCATCAGTGGCAAGTCTGCACATGCTCTCTTTGGTGTGTGTTGCTAGAGAGGTTGTGTTTTTTTTTTTTTTTGTGTGAGGGTGCATGTGATCAGCACAGGGCCAATCAGTGCTGTCCAGAGACGGGGTCAGGGGTCATGCAGCCTCACAGGACAGACCAGAATGAAAACTCATCCTACAAGATTAACCAATGCTCGGCCAGACACTGATAACGTCACAAGACTGCTATACACTGCTGATGAGAAAAGGTATTTAGCAGTTTTTATATTTACTAAAATAATTGCATTTCCATGTTCTGTGTATTGTAGAAGGCTGGATATAGTGAGTGCAGGGTCCTGGGTTTAGTATCACTTTAATGTAGATTGAGAAAATAAAATTGAGTGACAGGTAGCAGGTTTGATTCAATAACATGCTTTTTATCACAAAATATATATGAAATATAACCAAGCCATGTATACATACATACAAACACACCGAAACAATGATACCTGCATTTTGATAAGCTGCCTCACCAATGCCATTTCTCATTTCTTGGAAACAATAATACCCATGAGACTCCATACCTCTATGTTTTCATAGTTGGCTTTCTGCTGTGTCTTCCCCATGTCTGCCGCAGCCTGTGCTCTGTTCTACATTCTGGTTACAGAGCCAAGTGCGCGCATCGGGTGATGATGGGGAGCCATGCACGCGTTGGAATCAAAATTTGGATTGGAAGGAGCACAGGTAGCAGTAGTACTGATCAGGCCACACAACAGAAAATGGATGTTTTAAAGGTATGTTGAGGATTATTAGTGCTGGCATTTGTGATGTACCATGTTAAAGTTTGCCTATCCTTTAAAACTGTGCAAATCATGCATTGTGTAATCCGCAACCAGCTCAATGTGTAAGGTGCATTCATGCAGTTTAAAAGAAATCCTGAAAGTGATTCTAAAGGCTGAAGGTTTTTTTTTACCTTTTTAATGTATTCTCTGCACTAAGCTAAAAACCTTCAATGCTCAACCCCCTGTAGAATTTTTTCTGAGACACATATAATAATTCTTTAGTGTCTATAGGTGATTTTGGAATAATTAAAGAGCCGGCGAAGTAGAAAATAAAGTGTGATTTTATTGTATCACACAATGGCTTAAAATAACAATGTAAAACGTATCATGAATAACCGTTCTGTGTAGGTAAAACAGAAATATCAGAACAGAAATTATAAAGATGTGTCGCCCTTATTGTCATGGCCGTTCTTCCATGTGGTTCTTGTCTTTTTTTCAATGCAGCTTGAGTTTTAGCAAGAAGAAGGAAGCGAAGTGTTTTTAGGTCTCTTAGAGAATGCACATGTATACGTCATAATTTGTGATCTTAGAACCTTGTATGGTAAATAATACTGCATAGCAAAGCAATTTCATTGACGGGAGGGGATATTACATATATGCTCTTTTGATTGACAAGCCCATATGTAGTGGCTTCATAAGCTGACAATGTTGCATCAGCCTGCTCATGTGACAAGTTTCTGTGTTTAACCACTATCCTAAAGGGCGCTTATACCCCCTTCCTGCCAAGGCCAATTTCCAGCTTTCAGCGCTGTTGCACTTTGAATGACAATTGCGCAGTCATGCAACACTGTACCCATATGAAATTTTTATAATTTTTTTGTGACATCTTTATTTTGGTGGTATTTAATCGCCTCTGGGTTTTTTATTTTTTTCTTAAACCAAAAACCCCTGAAAATTTTGCAAAAAAAAAAAGTTTTTTCTTAGTTTTTGTTATAAAATTTTGTAAATAAGTGATTTTTCTCCACTGATGTGCGCTAATGAGGCTGCACTGATGAGGAGGCACTGGTAGGTGGCACTCATGGACATTGACAGGCATCACTGATGGGCACTGAAAGGCAGCACTCATATGGCACTGATAGGCAGTACTGACAGGCACTGATAGGCGGCACTGATGCACACTGATAGGCGGCACTGATAGGTGGCACTGATAGGCAGCACTGATAGGTGGCACTCACTGGCATTGATAGGTGGCACTGATGGGTGACACTGACAGGCAGCTCAGATGGGCACTGATGGGTACTTAAATGTGGCACTGATGGGCACTGGCAGGTGGCATGGATGAGCACTGAGAGCTGGCACTGATGGACACTGACAGGTGGCGCTGCTGGGGCTACACAGATCATCAGGGCACACTGATCATCAGTGCTCTGATGATCTGTGTACATGTGCCCTCCGAGGAATGCCGATTACCGGCTCTCCTCACGAGCTGTCAGCGTGACCGCTTGTGGGGAGAGAAATGCCGATAACCGGCATTTCCCTGTTTACATGTGATCAGCTGTGATTGGACACAGCTGATCACATGACCGAGCCGACATCTTCGGATCTTTCCGTGGATCGGTGATCCGCTGTGTCCGGGGGACACAGGTCACCGCCGATCGCCATGCTGCGCGCTATGGGAGCCGCTCATGCACAGTTAGAATGGGAGGACGTCATATGACGTTCTCCCAGAACAAGAGAACCACCTTCATCCATCATATTACTATATGGCGGGCAGGAGGTGGTTAAATGACAGTATAAACTAAGAATCTATCTTTACAACATTAATATCTCAGTAATGTTGTATAACCAAAAATCTACTAAACACATATTACCAACTTATAAAACATAAATTCAATACACACAGATACTATTAGAATATATATTATTTCATACTAATTCTATTTTGGTTCACTCCCATGACATTCTAAGACATCCAAAGACCTTTTAACCATCTATGCCCTTCTATAGAGTACTCAGCTTCCAACTAGTTAGCTTAACTCAAAATAAATTCTTCAGTTATAGACAAATATAACACACATTTTAATATTAATTATGATTAATCATAAAAACCAAATACTTTCCAAGCTTGCCATCAATATAATTTAGGTGCCGAATTATGAATTTGGAATTAATGTTTAACACCCCCCCCCTCCTTTATACTTACCTGATCTTGAGCCAGTGATGTGCATCAGAGCAGCAGCTCTCTCGGTGCTCTTCCTCCTCATTGGCTCAGAGACTGCAGCTGAAGCCAATGGCTGCTGTCAATCACAGCCTCGCTGTGCTCTGTGTTTCAATGGAGATGCAGAGCCGGCTCGGGGGCGAACCTACTCGAGGGCCCTCATTGCAGATAGCTTGCTATGGGGACACTTGGCAGGGGCAGTAGTCAGGAGCGCTGGCAGGGAACCCGAGAAGAGGAGGATAAGGGCTGCTCTGTTCAAAACCATTGCACAGAGGAGGGAAGTATATCAAGTTTGTTAAATAAAAAAAAGTTAAGGTTTACAATCACTTTTAAGTGTTGAAATATGGGATCAGCCATAGCTCACCTGTATTTGTAATTGCATGCTCCTCAATAATATTCTTTTAGTACTTGGTAAGACCATGTCCTGTAATCAGGGGCGGACTGACCATTTGAGCACTCGAGCAGTGCCCGAGGGCCCGGGGTCAGTGGGGGGGCCCCATGAAATGCCCCTGGTACCTATTTTTAATAGGCTTTTTTGGGTGTGTTTTGAGTGTGGGCAAGGACACGGGCCCCATGATCCCCTATTGCCCGGGGGCCCCATGAATTGTCAGTCCGCCCCTGCCTGTAATAAATATATACATATAAAGACGGGCGTATGATGTACTCAGGCAGGGAGAGAAATTTCAACCTAGCAGGGATAAAGTTGTAACTTCCAAGGAAAGTAAATATCTGCATATTAGGTTATTGCATTATACTCCCTTCTTTCATAAATAAGTTGACCGCACAGATGGGGAGTTTGCCTATACTTTTAGATGGCTTTACGTGACATAGTGACAGGCCACATTTTTCGTTGTGTCCTGAGCTCTATTAGCCCTGTGTATGATGAGCTGGTGCAAACAGGTTGTAGTCATGGAAAACAAAATAGACGTGCACATAAATGCTAATGGGTGCCGCAGTTTATTGCTGCTCTCATTGTTCACAGTGGAGCATGTAAAATTTGTAAGACCTCAGTCCACAATGAAGTCTACACAATAGCCATTTCTGGGACCACAGCAATTAAATAAAGGCACCCATGGAGATTTTAGCATTTTCCTCTTTAAAAAAAAAAAAGTGATTTTTATTACACTAAACTAGAGAAAATATAGTGTGCCAAAAAAATCCTAGTTTCACATTTGTTCCCAGTAGTAAACAAATGAGTGTGGATTTTTGAATTTAGCTTTGACAAACTTGAATGCAGCACTTATTTCGAAAGTTCTCTCTAGATACCAATTAGGGATGTTGTTGCCAGGCTGTTTTTTTTTTCTAAGGGACAAGAGATGGAACAAAAGCCTAGCTGCATGAATAAATGATGCCAGTTTACAATGTTGCATCCGAAATTCAGCTTCACACATCATTCAAAATGAGGCAGCCTAAAAACCTCTTATTACACTTTTTAACAGGGTAATGAAATAGAAGGCATACTTCCATGCTGCTAATGTCAATAGAATTCTGTGTAGCCAGAATCTGATTTGTTTCAAACAAGAGACCACAATTATTTATACTAAAGAAGGTCCCTTACAGATGTGAGTTCAGAAACTTTTCTGTTGTTTGACATTCGCTCTTTCTCATAGAAACTAGAAGTAAACCTTTAATTACTACAAATTAAAAAAAATTGTAAAAATCTGAAAATGTTTTTTTTTTTTTTTTTTTTTTTTTTTTTTTAAAAAGATCATGTCTGCGTGTGATACCAAGATTCTGTTTCTTCCATCATATTGACCACCATGATATTGTAGAATATTGCATTGTGTAATAATTGTGATTTGTAAGCCTTTGTAAGAACATCAAAAGAAGTGATTGCAGTGTACATTTATTTAAAGTTCGAGAAAACTGTCAAAGTTAAAGTGGTTGTAAACCTCAAACATGAAATATGAACAAAGTATATCCCTCTGTAGTGTGTATTTGTCTCAATCCAGATCACAAAATGTCATTTCTGTTTGCTGACTCTTCCTCATGCTGTTTGCATGAGTCCCTTCTGATGAGTTTTCCTGACACCAAGAGAAAAATGGTGACGGGAGGGAGCTCTAGCAGATTGGCAGCCTCAGCTCTCTTCCTGTGTGCTGTGTGAAGGGGTGTGTGTCGTTATCCTCCAATCAGCTGTTAGAGTTCTTGTGCATCTTCAGCTCTCTGCTCCCCAGATTTTCAGAGCTTGGAGATCCTATGTAAACTCTGTACTTTGAATGGATGTAGGGGAAAGACAGCCACAGATAAACCTGTACAACTGGTGTTGGAGGATTTGTTTCATCTTTGTATCACCTGAGGCCAGTAACTTCACTGGGTATATGTAAGGGTTTACAACCACTTTATAGTAGTAGTAAAGTGGTACTAAACCCAAGAAACCCTACATTCACTATATCTGGTCTCCCACAGTACACACAACATGGAAATGCAATTATTTTAGTAAATATAAACTGCTAAATACCTTTTCTCATCAGCAGTTAAAGCAGTCTTGTGACTTCAGCAGAGTAATGGTTAACGCTTGTAGGAGGAGTTTTTTTTTTTTTTTTTCTGCTCTAGGATGTGAAACCCCTGACCTCTGTCTGGACAGTGCTGATCGGCCCTGTGCTGATCACATGTACCTTCCCAAGAACAAAAAAAAAAACCTCTCTAGCAATACATACAAACTAAGCATGTGCATGTGACTATGGATTGAGTCTATCAGGTGGTCATCTCAACAAGAGGAGGGGCAAAGAAGAAAGGATCAAACAACCTTTTTACACAATGCAGAGGATTAACCCCTTAGGTTCCACAGTGAATATAACAAGCATGCTTTACTACATATACAGACCGATTTAACTGTTGTGGGTTTATTAACACTTTTATTCTCCTGAATGACAGTCTAAACATATTCCAAATCCAGTTACTATGGGGTTGATTTACTAAAACTGAAGAGTGCAAAATCTGATGCAGCTCTGCATAGAGACTAATCCGCTTCCATTTTTTTTTTTTTAAATCAAAGCTTAATTAAACAAGATGACGTTAGAATCTGATTGGCTGCCATGCACAGCTGCACCAGATTTAGCACTTTCCAGTTTTAGTAAATCAACCCCTATGTGATACATAAGCCTCTGAAATTAAACCAACAAACTTCTCTCCTGACTGAGCCAAACCTTCCTTTTATTTGTGTCTCATACGCTTCCTTTCTCAGACACTGCAGCTCACAGTGGGAGGATTTCAGCTGATTGACAAGCTACAGGCATGTGACAGCAGTGAGCATGCTGGTGGCCATGCCCCCGGCAACATTTTTTCATCCCACTGTAGTGAAAGCAGGCACAGCCTACATGAAAGCGACAACTTTGCTCTAAATTAGGAGTAGTGTATCATTGTTGCCACACTATCACAGGGTGGGTGGGCTACACTGAAAGGTTCAATAGGGTTTTGTGGGACTTTGGAGGGAGACTAAGCAAAAACTGTAAGTGCAGCCGCATGTATAATTAGGTGCCGCAGTTCATATTATTTAATACAGGGCCTTAGTTCTTCTTTAACTAAATAGTTGCCAACCGCAGATAGGCGAATGACGGCTAAACTGCAGCCGGCCAGTTCTTGGAGGCTGTCATATGACGTCCTCCCAAAATGCGCTTGCCTGCGCACACCTGGCGATCTCAGTGATCGCTGTGTCCTATGGACACAGCTGATCACGTGATGTGTTAAAAGGCCAATCACAGCAGCCTTTTACCACGTGATCAGCCATGTCCAATGACACGCTGATCACCAGGAAATGCAATTGCCGGTCTTTAGCTGCACTTTCCTCACACTGTCAGAGCGTGAGGAAAGTACTGCCGAGAACCGGCAGTTGTCAGAGCAGGGATTGGCACCGATCATCAGGGCACTGATGATCAGTGCCCTGATGATCGGTGCCAGCAGTACCACCCAGCAGTGCAGCCCAGCAGTGCCGCCTCATTAGTGCTGCCTATCAGTGTCCATCAGTGCTGCCTATCTCTGCAGCCTCATCAACGCACATCAGTGAAGGAGAAAAATTACCAGTTTGCAAAATTTTATAATAAAAACAAAGACATTTTTTTTCTCCAAATTTTTTGCATTTTTTTGTTTATAGCGCAAAAAGTAAAACACCCAACGACAAGTAAATACCACCAAAAGAAAGCTCTATTTGTGATTAAAAAAATTATAAAAATGTCATATGGGTACAGTGTTGCATGACCACACAATTGCCATTCAAAGTGCAACAGCGCTGAAAGCTGAAAATTGGCCTGGTAAGGAGGGGGGTATAAGTGCCCGGTAGGCAAGTGGTTAAATATGTTACCGCCCTTTTTTCCAGATGAAAAACCTAGATGGAGCCGAGTCCTGAGCTGTAGCTCTATATACTCTGGTATTATCTAAGAATGATGCCTTGATTTTGAAAGCTAGAGCAAGGGTCTACTTTGTGTTTGTAGGACCCATTTTCTGTTGGTTATACTCCCAATAAGCCTCCATTCTGCATGAGTTACAGATGACAC